GCAAGTGCCAGGCGGGACCTTAGCATGTGGGAGCAAAGAATTTTCAGTAACCACCAGAGGCTCGCCTTGATGACAGTGACCAGTGCCCAGCCTTGGTCTGGCAGCCCTGCTCACCTGCTCCACCATCCCACCGCGGCCAATGCCCACCATGTTCTGTGCTCCACCGCCTGCTGCTGATGCCCGCCATGTTCTGTGCGTGCCCCCTGGTAGTCAGCACACATCATAGCGACTGGTTGTTCGGTTGTTCTGCTGTCTATTTGCATATTAGCTTTTTATTATATAGGATTAAGCTAAAAATTGAGCTGGAAGGTTCAATTATAATATGGTGGGATGATGAGGGCATGGCAGGGCTGGGGGGTTAGGGAGGGCTCAAAGTCCTAGACTAGGGGCCAGGATTTCAAGTGTTACCCATGGCTATCTTCCTCCCATTTCCAGGAGACATCAGATTTCTGGTGCTATGTATCAGCCACATGGAAGGAGCCAGGTGTGCAGTGCATGGTGGGAAAGATTTATTAGGGGTGATTAGAAAAAGCAGATGGGGGATGATGAGAAGACTTGACAGGGCAACTGTAAAGACAGGAAGGGCATTGGAAAAGCCACACAGCCTGACTCCAAAGCTCTAATTCAGATAGTCTTTGGTTCCAATGTTCGTTCCATCACCTATTAGTACAGTGTGTGGCACATAGGAGGTGCTTAGTAATTACTTGCTGAATGAATGAATAATGGTGACCTTGACCAGCTCACTTATTCTCTCTGAGCCTCAGTTTCCTCATCTGTAAGATAAATAGTAGCTATTATTTTTATTATTTCGCCTGTGTTGTGTCTCCCCACACCTGTATTAGCTTGCTGGCCCACCTTCCCAACCCTGCACTGGAGAGGCTGCCATACTAAGTAAGCCTCCTTCATTAAGTGTCAGAAAGGGCAGATGTGCACAAGGCCTTCTCTTTTGTCTTGTGTCCTCCCCCTGCTCATCCTTACCTCCTGGCCCCATTTGTTTCCTTTTCTATCAAGGCAAACTTGGGGTACAGTCTGGGAACTCAGAGCAATTGTAGAAACCTTACAATTCCAACACATACACATGTACAACTCACCCAACCCTTCTCTGCCTCCACCTTCAGAAGGTTGGTCCTGGGCTGCAACATGAAGCTTTTTCCCCTCTAGGGATCTTTACTTGATTCAAATGTCATCAGCAACAGGGATTAGAAAACCTCTACCCCTGCATCCCCATGTAGAGCTACCCAGTAACTTGGGAAGCTAGCTGCCTCTGGAGATTGATCACGTCATCACTGTTCCAACTATGGAAGATGCCCTGTGAGCCAACCCCTCTGGAGTACGCTAACCAGAGTAAAGGCAAACAAGTGTGAGCACATGAAGGTGGTGCGAAGATGATTTTACAGTAGTGGTCATGAGCTAGGCTGAATGTTCCACTCTCTAACCAACACTTCCTGTGAGCAATGATATATATCCTTAAGATTCATTGGCACGAGAAGAGCAATTTGTGGGAGCAAAACATAGCTTTTCTCTGTATGAAGCTAAAAGCTTTGACTTTCTCTATGATTTTATTTTTGTCTTTTACCACTGTTGGATAGACTAATGGGCAGATAAGGTGAAGTCTAAATTTGCCAGTTCCTCCAGTCATCCTGTAGCATGTGGAATGCATCTCTATAAGATGAACCTCTTCAGATTTGATCTCCAATAGGTTAAAAATCACATCTTTTGTGCTTCTAAGGGATGTGGTGGGGAAGAGAAAAAACCCAATCTCAGGGGCTGAACAAATTCAACTAGACAAGCTCTCCCATGGAGTGGAGCTTCACCCATCCACTCCCTCATCACCACCCCACCTCCTCAAGTGAATCTGTGCCTGCGTCCCCCCCTTTGTTTTTAATGGGGAGAAAGGGAAGAGAAGAACAGTGAGAAATGTCCAGCCTTGCCAAGGCTTTTATATGCAAGAATAAATGACAGTCTTGTAGGCAGGTTCAGAAAAATCTTTCAGAATGCAGAAAATTCAGCAGCCTTTCCACATTGACCATTGTCATGGCAACACACTATCTGATGACAGCATGCGTCACAAGACTGGAGGGGCACGGTCTCAGAACAGCAGGTTAGCCTGGCCATTTTTAGCAACATTTGGACTTCTTTGTAGCCTAATTTCTTCCAGGTTTAGCTGAATTTCTTTTCAGTTCTGGACTTGCATGGCTAGAACACAAGACCCTGTCAGTATGCAAGGGATGGCTGAATGGAAAATGTGAAGATTCCTAGTATGTATAACCACTCTACTTGCTGTCTGCCCTCTCTGGATCCTCCCTGCCCACTCTCAGCCACTTAGTTTTTTTTCCTTCTCTTCATCAATTCTTTCCTATGCACAACAACTGTGACTCATCTACCAACTCGCACACTCTCATATTCTTATTTTTCCTCATTTTAATGAACAGTATCCTAGAATATTAGGGTTAGAAGGAACCTTAACAATAATCTAGTACAATCACCCTCCCCCAATGCAGAAGCCCTTCTACTATTTGATTGGCAAAAGATTGTCCAGTCTGTATCTTGTAAGTCTCCAGTGATAGAAACCACATCCTTTTCTGGGCAGACAGTTACACGTTGGACATCTCTAATTGTAAGAAAATTATTCATTCTAATGAGTGAAAATCTGCTTTTTAAAAAATAATATCTATCCATGGGTCCTAGCTCTGTGCTCTATGACCACATCAACTCTATCTACACCCTTTGCTCTGTGACAGCCTTTCAAGGATATGAAATAGAGACCTCATGCCCCTAGGTCTTCTTTTCTCCAAAATCCCAGCTCCTTTAATCAGACATCTTGGAGCCTGGAATCCAACTGACCTCCTGGAGCAAGCTCCTATTTGTCTAGGGCAGTGGTCGGCAAACTGCAGCTCACAAGCCACATGCGGCTCTTTGGCCCCTTGAGTGTGGCTCTTCCACAAAATACCGACTTCTACGCACGGGCCATGAAGTTTCAATCGCACTGTACGTGTGCACCCGCACGTGGTATTTTGTGGAAGAGCCACACTCAAGGGGCCAAAGAGCCGCATGTGGATCGCCAGCTGCAGTTTGCCGACCACTGGTCTAGGGTTTTTTAAAAGTGAGGCTTATAATATATCAGCATCTCTGGTACCAGCATCTGTGAGCCTCCTTGCCCTGGTGACTCACACTGAGCTCTGTGTTGAGTAAAATCCCTAACTCTCTTTCAGAGAAAATGATGCTAAACCTTGTCTTTCCAACTTGTATGTGTCCAGTTGCTTTTGAGAACCCATTTCCTGGTTCATACATTTTTTTCCCACTTTAATTTCATTGTGTTGCGATCAGAATATTGCTTTCACCTGTTAGGATTTTTAAAAAATATCTTGACTTCCCCATGTAACTTAATATGTCTTCTGTGATTTTCTTTTCTTTGTTTTTTTGTTTTGTTTTGTTTTTTTGTTTACCAACCCTCAAACTAGTTTTTTATCTAAAATATTTAAAAATGTATTCCTCTTTTGGGTTTCTTACCTTTTTCCTAGATTTCTTCCCTTTGAATTACCTTCCTTATGTTTTCTCTCACTTGTCATTTCCATTTCCTCAATAGCAAGATGTCACCACGCTCTGGAGATATGTTTTTTGGGTACATGTGCAGGAAAGCATGAGGGCATACAGATATCTGCACATACGTAAATGTTAGCAAGTAGCTGCAGAGGCTTGTTTAGTTTCTGTTTCTATTGCTTTGTATGTGCTCTACCAGGATTTAGAGCCTGGATGGGGGGGGGGGGAAATGGCAAGGTTTGTTAGGGTACAGTCCCAAAGGAAACAGGAAATGTGTCCTGGGTCTGAGAGGGGCAGGAGGAAACTAGGGTGGGAGCACTAGTGTTAATTAGGGCTGCAACATAGTGAGAAGGACTAGAAAAGGGCCCAGAATAGAAGGATTTTATCAGTAAAGGCCTGAGAGGCTGGACAAGGGAGGAAGATTTGGTTAGGAAGTGAAGACCTGTGGGGTCAGTAGCCATTGAAAGGCCAGAGGGAGGTGGCTTGAAACTACAGTGTCAGGGAAAGGCTAAGGGCTATCAGACATCTTAGAGAGACTATAAGCATTGCTGTGAGCATAACCTTATGAGTCTGATTTATGAGCTTAGATTTTTTTTTTAGCCAAAGGAGCCTGAGACATGGAGTCCCTGCGTATGCATTTGGCTGTTGTCACCGACTGGGCTCTATTAGAGGATAGGGCCTTAATATAGCCCTGGGAAAAGACCCTAAGACACAATGTGTCCCCTGGCACAGAGTTCTTCCATGCTGGATTCTATTCCAATAAGGGACACAAAGCAGGAGAACTGGTTCTATCTTGATCCTTATATGAATAAACACGGTGATTTCACTCTCTGGGATGGGCATTATGATACCCTAGTCTTCTCAATTCTGCTAATAATTAGAATCCAAAAAATATTCACGCACATGTACAAATTTAAACAGGAAAATGGGTGCCAAAACTACTTTAAATATGGCAAAGTGAGTTGAGTTGTGAAGCAACAGATGGGGTTGGGAGGAGCACACTAGTGGAAAGCTGAGGGCAACATCCCCAAACAGCTAGTGGACAGTGTGATCAAGAGGGCAATAACCTGATGACTGCCATTTCCCCTCTGTTCAGAGGCCAGAATAACTGTAAGCCAGCCTTAGGGAAGGGGAGGATAGGACAACAGCCTCATCTCTAGTGCTCTGGGAGAGACTGGGAACCTCCAGGGCACACTTTAGAACTTGTTTTCCACTGGAGGTGCCTAAACCTGAACCTTTGGTGCCCCTGAAGGTGACATTAGCTGGCCAAATGACAATCCTGACCAGAGTGGCCAGTGTAGAATTCCAACTACAACCTAGCAGGCCAAGAAGAGGTTTCCCTTTCCAATCAGTGAAATTATTAGCCACCAAAAGACAAATGGTACTTGGGGAAGCCCCACTGATGGGCCACCACAAGCTGGGTGGAAAGAAGAGGACAGGACTCAAGGGGTAGTGCTCACCTTTGATGTAGTTGAGGATTTGCTGGACTCGGTGGGGTTCATTGCGGTCTGGCCGGCAGCTTGGCGTGATTTCCAGCACATAATCAGGACCATATGCTGTGAAAAACTGTAAGGAAAAGGGAAAGGCAAAAAAACAAACTAAACCACAGAAAACCTGCAAACGAAACCACATACAAACAGTACAGTCAAAAGAAACCCAGCACTATTGACAAGGCAAGGGAAGCCCAGGTGGGCGGGGCAAGATAATGCAGCAGGAAGCCCAGTCCTGGTGGTGCCATTCCTTTTGTTTAAAGCAGCGGTTCTCAACCTGTGGGTCGCGAGCAATGAAAATACATCCTGCATATCAGATATTTACATTACGATTCATAACAGTAGCAAAATTACAGTTATGAAGTAGCAACGAAAGTAATTTTATGGTTGGGGGTCACCACAACAGGAGGAACTGTATTAAAGGGTTGCGGCATTAGGAAGGTTGAGAACCACTGGTACTAAAGGCTCTAGTAACAGTCCACTACTAAATTCTTTAGCTTGTTGTTCAAGGTTCTGTCTGCTCAGGTCTCAACTTTTCTCTCTAGCCTTAGCTCTTTCTGACTCCCCAGAGCTCCTCTCTAGCCACACTGGCCTGCTCTGAGCTCTCCCAAATCATACCACACTTTGTCCACTCTTAGGATCTTTGCCATTGATCTCTCCCAGGGCCTACAAAGATTCTTCCCCAATCCCTGCTGCCTGTAAAAAAACCTCCCCATCTTTCCAGGTGCAGCTCAAATGTCACCTTTTTCACAAAGCTGTCCTTCATTCTCCATCAGTCCCCAGAGCATTCTGTTAGTATCTCTCTTATGGTTCTTGTTCAACAAATAGACCAGGGGTCCTCAAACTTTTGAAACAGGGGGCCAGTTCACTGTCCCTCAGACCGTTGGAGGGCCGGACTATAGTTAAAAAAAAAAAACTATGAACAAATTCCTATGCACACTGCACATATCTTATTTTGAAGTAAAAAAACAAAACGGGAACAAATACAATATTTGTATTTGCATGTGGCCCACGGGCCGTAGTTTGAGGACCCCTGAAATAGACAGTGCTTGCCTGCACATTACATGCAGGTCACTGTGCCAGCTGCTGTGGGGGCTATGAAGATGGGCGAGACCTCCTCTGGGTTCCTCTAGCTGGCACAATTTGGATAGAGATTTTTAACCAGTGACCTGATTTCTCCACACTGGATTATCAGCCCCTTGAAGGCAGAGAGCACCTATGTCTTTTTCACCTCATTGGTTCTCACAGACCATGGCAGCTGCCTGTTAGTTCTGGCTGTCTTGAATTCCCTAACCCAGGAATGTCAAGCAAGCCTAGTTTCTCTACTTCAGTTTTTCTTCTCTGTAGTAGAGTTTATTTGTTATTAAATTCAGGGAATCAAAATAGAGGTTTTTGGATTCTATTTCTAGCTCACTAGATGACTCCTTTGACCTTTGGTAAGTCACAATATCTGATTCAGCTTCTCTATTAAGGCCCGCTTGGGGAAAACACTCAACGACAAAGGGAATCATTCAATTGGGGTAAGTATTTGAATGGGAAATATGCAAAGCTGCTATTTCTGTTTAGTTTTTAACAGAAATAGTATTTGTGCACACTCTCTGGAGAGAGAGCATATGGTCCTTAACATTATGTGCTTTCAATAGTGATATTGTTAGGCAGTAAGTAAGCCAGGGAAATTCAAATTCCACAGAAAAAAATGGTACAGAGGGCATAAAAAAGAGATCTTGATGTGTGTCATGAATTTGATGTCATTCAAAAAGTCTCTAAAAATAATCTAGAGTATTGCCATTGCCACCAAATTATCCTTGTTAAGAGTCTGGATGTACATCTGGCACTGTGGGAGAGGCTGCGAACAATCCCTAGGGATTCTAACAGTGTCTTTGTGGAATCCATGAGAGCAATTTGATGGGGAGATGGCTTTTGCATATTCATTACAGACAACTCTACACATTTAAATTAAAAGAAAATGTCCAAGACTTATAATGTGCCAATGCTTATAATTCCTTTTAGTGTTTTTGGTCTGACCAGAATGAAGAGAGGGACCTAGTTTCCTGCTCCTGGAGTTATTACTCTCTGATGCCTAAAGCCCTGAATTCTAGAGATAGAAGAGGCCTTGAATAGAGATCGTCTCTACCAAACCCATATATGAAACAGATAGGAGAGGTTACCTTGTGACACATCCTGAAACTACTCCCTCCCATTATGATCAAGGAAACTTGAGAGGTTTGGCCCTCTCTCCTTAGGCGGCCTCTCCTCCTCCAGAGGGTGTCAAGTAGTACACTCATTTCATGGGTATGGAAATATGGGTTTAGAGAGAGCAATAGCAGAAAGGCAGCTGCAATGAAGCAGCTGCTCTGGGAAACCCAAAGCCCTGGCATCAAGGTGCTTTGAAAATCAGAGGCAAGGGGCCTTGCTGAGGTATAGGAGGAGGGAACTGCTGCTTCTATCTAGGAAAGGAGCACTGCTGATCCTGTCTACAAGACATGTGGTGAGCTGTCTGGTTAGGGCTGAGTGTTTGGAATAACATGTCCTCATTGTGAGTATAGGTTACATGGTTGCCTGCACTCTCCTACTTTAGTCTCCTGTTTGACCAAGAGCCAAGTGTTACAAGATGGTCAGCTGGGACCAGAACTGCCATGTAACAGAACTGACCTTTCCTGGGATTGAACCTCTTGTCCTGGTTGCATTAGCACTTGGTTTTAACTAACCAGTAAATATCCCATTCTTTGCTGAAGTAGGCTGGCTTTAGGCAATAGCCAAGCCTGGCTTCTTAAATATCTCCCCACCTTTGACAATCAAATATCATTCCCAGGTTTGCTTATTTGCACTATTCTTAGGCTAGGGGACATGGATGATTTAAGAAAGTTCCCGTTTTGTGATCCTGTTCCACATGTCAGTTGGCTGGTCCCAGCCTTGGGAGGCTCTACTTGGGGCTGTAGTAAGCGATAAGTACTGGGGAGGCAAAGGTGGTGTCCTGTCCCCCTCCTGGCTTTCTCATGGCATTTTCCTGTTTCTGCATTATATTATGCTTTTATTTTTGCACTTGTTATAATTCTTTTCTACTGGATTATGAACTCTGCAAAGGCAGAACCTTCATCACAGTCTCTTTGCATAGCATGTAGAGTTGAACTCAAGTCATTAACATTTCTCTTTAAACTTTTATTTTAAAACTAGAGGCCTGGTGCGCGAATTCATGCAGAATTTGATATTTGAGCCCCAATGGGGGCTCATCAGGACAGGCTGGCAGGGGGGAGGGGCTGCGGGCGGTTGGCCGGCTGGCCCCACCCCCGATCAGGGTGCTGGGGGCTGATTGGGGTCTGGGCCAGCCAGGGGGAGGGGCTGATCGGTGCCTGGATCAGGCCAGTTGGCTGCTGCAGGGTGCATCATAGCCACTGGTCGTTCCGGCCGTTCTGGTCATTCTGCCATTCCAGTCGCTGGGCTTTTATATATATAGATCATGTTAAATTAAATTAATTCATAAAAGGTTTAACTGATTGTTGAGTTAATTCTGTGGAATAATGAAAAGAGCCAACTTACAGCATTAACAGCTTTTCTAGACTATTGAGGTAGAATGATGAAATGGAAAGAGTCCTGGTTTTAGAGTCCAGCCAGAGCTGTATTTTTGTACCCAGATTTAGGTGTGTGCCTCAGGAGAGTTGCTTAATCTCTGTTTTGTCATTGCTACCAGAGAGATGATAAGTGCTGATCTGGCTAGGCTGTTAGGAATCACAGATAATATACACTTAGTAGGATTTCAGTAATGTAAATTCCCTTCTCCTGGGGCAAGAAGCTCTTGCCTAACTGGTGCCTCACATATACTTTGGGGGATGTTGGGCCAAGCACTTGGAGCTATGATGAAGAAGAGTCTGTTCCTCCTGCCAGACAAAACCCAGTAGCCCCAGAGTCTTCCCCACTTGCTTAAACCATTAGCTTTGCTTAGGGCCTGTTGAGAAACTGGCTTCTTTAACAGTTTCCTGCCCTATGCTCCTGCCACTTGTTATTTACTGGAGAGGTGGAAAGGAAATCTGATCACATAAGGTAAAAGAGATGTTAGGGTGCAGAGATTTGGGTAGCACTAGAAATAGCTTGAGGCCCCACCCTGAAACTGCCCTCCAGCCCTTAAGAGGAAAGGGAATGGGCAAGCAGCAATCCCATTCCCGGACAGGTAGAGTAAGATGAAAGAGGTCAGTGGCCTTCCAGTGAAAACACTGGCTTTGATCTCAGTAAAGGAAGAAGGGAGTTGCTAGCCCTTCTCCATCTAATCCCCCCTTCCCTCAGCACTCCTTTTGCTTTCTGGGTTTCAGTTTATACATGATTGAGGGGAACATGGCAGTGGGAAGGGGGTAAATGGAAAGTATAAGGTGTGGCAGAGGGATGAGAGTTGAAGATAATGGCTACTTTAGGGTATTCAGTCCCTTCTTGACCCCAAAGTCAATGAATAAAGTAATGAAAATTGCTCAGTTCAGCCCAGTTCAACACACGTTTCTTGCTCACTCCTCTCCAGCTCTTGCTCACACAATGCTAACAGCATACACTTAGATATTTGGACAAAGATATTCAAGCCTTACGGTTGCTGTTATTGCTTCATAATCTTATTTGGTCATAGGAAACCAAACCACAAACCTGGATCAGCCAATCCTTTTATCCTCTCTTTAACATGTATTCAGTACCTACTATGTAACTGACTATGTTAGTCATCAGGGTACAAAATGGTAAGATATGTTTAGTAGGAAGGATTATTATAGAATAGTGTAATAAGAGGTATAATAATAATCATACTAAAGAAAAAAGTAAAAACAGTTAACATTTATTAAAGGCTTATTATGTGTCAGGCACCTAAAGTATCTCAGCACTTTTTTTTTTTTGGTTGTGAGGATTACATGACTTTATTTTTGGAATGCATTTGCAACATTGCCTAGAACAGAGTTTGTGCTGCTTTGGAATTGGTAACTCTCCTGTCCTAGTATGTAAGTTGTAGACACTTGGCACCACATACCTACACATACACAGAAGCTTGCTACTTGCAACTAAAAACTAGGATAAAACTTAAACCAGTGAGAACCCAGAAGACATCCA